AGTCGTTAGATGTGAATAAATGCAATGCAATACGGTGAATATTAGATTGCCCAATATCAAAATAGTGTATAACAGTATGCTTAAATGCAAAAAAGATGTATAACAGTTGCTAGATGTGAGTGAAGTAATAGATAAGGGAAAACGCAATGTAAATAATAAAATGTATATGTAAGCAGATTGAGTATAATAGTGCATGTATAACAGTCGTTAGATGTGAATAAATGCAATGCAATACGGTGAATATTAGATTCCCCAATATCAAAATAGTGTATAACAGTATGCTTAAATGCAATAAACATGTATAACAGTTGCTAGATATGAGTGAAGTGGAAGATAATAAAGGAAATAGCAATGTAAATATTATAATGTATATGTAAGCAGATTGAGCTAACAGATATATATTCAATAACAGTATAACAGTACAACTTAGATTAGATAGACAAGCTTAGTGTATGACAATATATGCACCTCATTTGTATAACAGTTATTTGATGTAACTACATGTAGACTATCTCTATAAGAGTAAATAGTATGAGTATCAATTAGCGTATATAACAGTCTGTCTGTCTACACACACTTATATATAACAGATAAGCGACGAAGACAAACTCCGATTGCTACAATTATGTCTAATCCTCCCTAATAAAAACGCTTATTTCGAATCAGTTAAGTCTTAGGGGAACCAAAGCGGAACTCAATAATTAGAACCAATTTGGACCCGATCAAATCTGTGGCGGAATTAATTGCCATTTGACGAAGCCCAGCAATTATTTAGCTATTAAGTGAATTACTGTGAAACTGTACTAATTGAAGCAGTCCAATTAATGAAAAAAATAAACCTTAAATGTGTAGAGGCTAATGTGCATTGAAACAAGTGAATTTAGTGGTATTCTATTTGATGAAGACATTTGCAATAGAAAATGTAAATAGATATTCAAATTGAGTTTACGTTTAATGACTATCCCAATTAAGAAAAATTGAGAGTAGCAGAGAAAAATCTTGAGTCTAATCCATCCAGATGTATGAGCATATTCAGCTATATAGAGAATGGGGTAGATTAGAATATTCCCCTATGTAAATCAAGCAGAAGCAAGAGTTGACTATATGATTCACATGTTCAACTAGATTGTTGAGTGTATAAGGAAAGTGCTTACTAGATAAGAACTACGATAAGTACTTCTCGTAGATAGTTATGTCTATATGACTAGTTATACGTTCCTAAAGCTCTTTGCACAGTGAATGCAAATAAATTAGAGAGCAACTATTCGTCGTTCAACCCTAACTGAAGCACTCCTTCGTGCCTTGGGTTTGAATGTTACACAGGTTCAGGCAGGCTCCCCAGCCCTGTGTCTAGCCTATCTGATTGTCTAGGGCACTCCTCGTTCTATTTCGAGAATGTTTTGGAGCTCAACTAAGTTTTTGTTTTTTGTTTTTTTTTCTTTTCTTATATGGGTTGAGTTTTTTTTTTTCGTGCTAACTGTGCATTCAGCCTTGAAAGTCGCGTCGCACCCCCAAACGAAAATTGGAGCGCATCGAAACGAATGGCTGGGCATTCGTTCTATTTGTCGAAATGGGCATTGACCATTGCCCATGGCGAATTGCTAATGAATAAGGCGCTAAGGTGTCAATATGCTCATACGCATATAGCGAACGGGCCAAATAGTTCGCATTTAACATCTATGCCAATCAAAGGCAATTGTGATAAATGCTGATATCGGTTACTGGGTCGTTCCTAGGCTTTTCAGTCTGGCCTCGCGCATGTATGTACATACAAATATCTTTGATGGTATATAGGAAAAGCGACAACAAATAATAATAATAGTAATGAAATGCTATAACTATGTCTAATTTAGATTTATGAGAAAAGTCAAGGCTGGTCAAGGTACGAGGTGCGAATTGTTCGCAGCGAGCTTTTCATAAATTGCCCTCAGTTCCATTCGAGTTGTTAGTCAATAGAACTAAGCACACACCCACACAAACGTTTCATTAGGTCTGCGAGTAGAATATACGCCTCACAATTTCGCATATAATAGTTTCAGTGTGTTATACATACGAATATAGTATATATGTATATAATGTTGAATGGGCAGACATTTGTTTTAGCAGTAGAGCACAGTGGGCAGCTTATCTGAGAGCATACATATATATAGATAGCTATATAGATAGACACTCGCACACCTACAAGTGTTATACTTGAGCAGGGGTAAGCCCTTCTGATAGATATTAAAATTGATTGCTAAGTGGGCAATACAGTTATTAGTCTAGCGTCATTGATCGATCGATCGATCGGTTGTTATGACGCTCGGCACATATTGAAGTCAACAAAGGTTAAAGACAATAGTTGGGCATTTAAGTATAACAGTTTTCGTAATAATGCAAAGTTGTATAATTTAATTGTGTATACAAAGAACAAGTTTTAGATAAACCTCATAGCAGGTATATAAAGTAGTACAACATATTTATGATACTAGCGAATGATATAAAGGTTATCGGATAGTATAACACTTGTAAGAAAAATAACAACTTTTAGTTGAACTATAGAGCACCTGACCTTACTTAGACTGACTGTATAACAGTTCGGACAGCAGTATAATATGTATAACAGTGTAGAAACAACTGTCAGCTGTTGAGCTTAATTTTATTTCCTTTCTCCAAGTGTCATACTGTTATAATTGGTCTTGTTCAACAGTAATTGGCTGTGACCGTATAACAGTTACAATACTGCCTCATCTATTAGTCGACCGCCCTCTGCTCAATTTTGTGATGCAGTCACATGAGTCGCCGTTTTTATAACACATTTTATTTAGCTGATCCCACCTCCGAATGCAACCCTCACGCCCCCTCCTACATACCCCCCCGCTTTGACCCATAGCGCCGTGCAACTGTGACCGTGAAACGTGCACGATGTAATCGCTGAGGGGGCAACTCGAGCTTGACTCTACAGATAGAGACGCAGAGAGAGTGAGAGAGAGAGAGGGAGAGAGGGAGGGTAGTTGGTGTGAGCGAGACGCCTGCATTGAGTCCATTCAAAATAAGCTAAACAATTCTACACACAGTTTAATTAACACTCTCAACGACAGTCGAGAGCCGCGTACGGGGCGGGGGAGGCTGTGGGCGGGGTGCAGCGGAACCAGTTTCAATGGACGCGCCAATTGACGATGCGAGTTCGAATTCGATGAATTCGATTGTTTCTATTTTTGTTCATCACATTCCTTGCTGTTGTTTCTCTTTATTGAAATGTTTACTTGTTCTCTACTTCTTCTTCATCTTCTTTGACAATAAAGAAACAATATACCCAAAATTGAGCATCTTAATTACAGGTTTGATAATTACAAAATGAATGAAATAAACTTTGTTTTATAAATAGATCTATAGCTGTTCATTTAATACTATATTTTGTAAAATTATATTTTTTGTAGCTGTAAAAAATATGTAATTTTTTTTTTTTTTTTTTTCTTTATTAATTTCAATTTGCATTGCAATATTTTAAGCAATTACTGTTATTTTTTAAAAAAGTAACCCGTAGAAATTCATTTTTAAACAGGCGAAATACAAAGTTTACAAAGTTTTTCAAATTGTAGCAAAAATATTAAGAAGAACCTATTAACAAGATTGGCTACAGTCTAAATATTTTAAAGAATTTCTTTCGCGATGACGAAAATAATTGAAGAAATGTCAAAAGCGGAACAAATATGCTATAATAAGGTCAGAGCAGCGCTATATACTTCAAACTAAAACAACTTTTCGCTACTTGGCAGTTGAAATCAAGGAAAAATTCGATATAAGAGCTAATAGATTGCAACTATTTGATTTATTTAGATTTTCAATAAAAAGAAAGAGCTCTTGATGACTTGATTCATGAAACAAAATTCATTTCAAGCAAATCGGGGCATTCGTTGATGAGATATTACTTTTTTTTAGCCATCAAAAAAGTCAAACCTATTCAAATGCGCGGCACTGTAAATGATTAGCTTTCAATTGGAAGTCAAGAACCATTTGAATATACATATGACAAAAGACGAGTTGGATTTCAAATAAGAAAATAAAAATAAATGAAGTGAATAATCAAAGCTTCAATTGACAATCAAAAGTCACAACGAAATTGCGATTGTTTTTAAAGATTTTTAGAGAATTGCACAACTTTTGCTAACTGAAATTCCATTTGATGTTTTCCTAAAGGGGAAATCTCAAATAAAGGCTAAGTGCTATAATAGAGAAGCATCATTGTCATTGTTTAATAAAGCATGTGTTTATATAGAAGTATATATATATATATAGCCAGTCAGCACAACTTTAGAGATTGGGAATACTCAATAGATAAATAAATTATATACCATATATGTATATTTCTCATTTATATATCACATACGAAATTACTCTCTGATTTAGGTTAGTTCAATGAAGGCCAAGGACTATTGACTCTAACTCAACATTGCTCTCCTTCATTCTCATTCTCATTCTCATTCTCACTCTCTAGTTCCCCTGTCCGCCTCACTCTTTGTGCCTCTCTCTGTTTGTTTTCTTCTGACCATGACCCGTTGTTGTTTCATCTGAATGAATTTGCACACACAAAAAAAAAAGCACATGCAAATAATTTCAATTGGGATTGAACGCCAGAATTAAGGTCAAGTTCAATTGAAAACTTTGACTTTGACCCACGGTCCAAGGAGGATATAAAGATGTCAAGACAAATACAAAATAAATTGAAATATATAAATATATTAGAATGAAGTAGATATCAGAATTAATACATAAGTAAAGGTTTCTATGAAGTAATTATAATTCAAGAGAGGAACTTAATACTAGAATATAGTATCTCTTGAGGGCAGAAATCTTTTTTTCCCCTTGTAAAGCCTTAGTGTTCGTTCTAGGCAGCGTGCACTGTAGCTATGGCCTATCTATGGCCTTTTCACGACCAGAACTCTATATATGAGAGATATCTATAGTACTCCATATAAGTTAAGAGATTTTGATGTATATACGTGTATAGCTGGACTTACTTGTTGGTTATTTCGAGGACATCGGATATCATCAGGCGATATTTGTTGCGGAATTGCTGACCACGCTTCGTCTCCAGCAGATACTTGTTGCAGAAGTCGGTCAGCGAGATGAAGTAGATGAAACCGAGCGAGGTGAGGAAGAGGCCACGCTGCAGCGTGATCCGATCGGTGGTGTTTGGGATTTGCCACAGGCTGCCGCAGGCCAGACTCATCGAGCCAATGGAGCAGGCCAGCGAGAAGTAGCAGCCGCAACGCAGTGGCATCGGCGCTGAGGCACCCACAGCGGCGGCCACATCCATGGATTCAGCGGATGCTGTTGCTGGAGTGGCAGCAGAAACTTCTTCTGTCGCCGGAACTGTTGCCGAGGCTGGAGCTGCATCCTTGCAGCCGCCATTGCTGAGCAGCGGCTGGCACAGGCTGTTGCGACGCTGGTGCATTGTAGTCGCCGCTGCTTCCGCTGATGCTGCTCCTGCTGTTGCTCTGCTTGGTTGTGTTCCAGGAGTAGCTGTGTGTGTGTATGTGTGTGTGTGTGTGTGTGTGTGTGTGTGGATGTGGGCGTGGGCGTGGGTGTGTGGCTCACAACCTGTTGCCTGGACGGTGGATGCTCTGTCAAATCGATTCGGGATTTCGTTTGCGTTTCGTTTTTAGATGTTACACAATTTCATTTTTGCAGCTATAGTTGGAGCAGACAAGAAGATTACGCTAGTCAGAGGCGTTGATTGACCAACAAATACTCTATATACTATATACAAAATAATTGTGTGGATCGTGTGTGTGTGTGTGTGTGTGTGTGTGTGTGTGTGTGTGTTTGTGTGGGGAACGTGTGGAGCGTGTAACGTGCAGCGTACGGTGCACTGTCCCGTTGTCTGGTCGCGTCTGCTTATCAAGCAACAAAACGGAACTCATTCCGTATGCTCATTATCAAGCAATTATCACTATCAGCTGCGACCCTCGCTTGTTGCTGCGGCTGTTCATATATTTTATGTACAATTTACAAATACATAAGTATATATGTATAAATATATATACATATATTTTCTCCCTATATGTTTCTCTTACTCTCTCTCTCTCTCTCTCTCTTACACAATTTTAAAATCTTATCTAGTACTTAGGGCTTATTAGTTTATTGCCACTTGCTTTTTTTTTGGATTTATCACATTTATCACATGCATGACATTTTTATCATAAAGAGAGCGCGCATGCTGTCAACAAACAGTTAACGTGCACTGTTATGCTCTCTTTCGCTCTGTGGATGTTAAGTAACATAGGCATTGATTCTCTCCATAAAGTACAAAATTCAAATGCTAATTGACATTTGCCATTGTATGCAAATGCAAATGCAATGCACTGCATGCTGTGCGCGTGCATGTGTGCGAGTGAGCGCACAATAAAAACAAAAGTAACTCTCTCGATTTCTGCTTGTCTCTCTGTCTTGCGCATGCATGGCAAGAATTTGATAGCTAAGGTATCGAAATGTAGGTCAAGCGCTTTGCATTGCCCAAATAAACAATTGGCACACACACGTACGCACACACACTCAAATTTAAAACCGCAAAAAATTGCTTGGCCCGCACATTGTTGACCAACAATAATTGACTCGAGTTGCGCGCGCGCACAAACAAAAAATAAGTAAAAAACAACAATAAGAACAACAATTACAAATCCATACGATTGATCGACTCTTTTTTTTCTTGTTTAAGCAATAAATATACTTGAAGCACTTATTTATAAGTTTTTGTGTCACTTTCGTTCACTCGAGGAGAGACGCCCACATAAACACACACACGCATTTGCTCTCGCACACACATACACGCAGAGATGACGCGCGCGCAGTCAACAGCAGCAGCAGCCGTCGCCGAAGCTGCTGCAGACGCATTTCACACGCACACTCATTGGCCAACGCATTCATTGATTATGCAATTCAAAGAATCTCCAATTGTCATATCTAATTGAAGTCGTGTCTCACATTCAAACAACAACAGCAACAATAACAACAGCGAGACTTGCAACAAGAGTGATCTAATCTTGCGCACGTTGCTAGTGCTACACACACACATATAGTCACAGACATTCCCACACACACGCGCGTTTTGAGTGTGGTGCATTTGCCGGCAACGGCGTCAGCGGCAAATTCACTTGCAGTTTGTGCTGTAATTTCAAAATATGTTTCACATACACTTTTTACAGTGACAATATTATTTCAAGACTTGAAACATAAACACTTTTATTTGTACGCTCGAATAGTATAGATTCGAAAAAAAAATACACAAATTTAGAAAAACACAAACAGCAGCGACGTTAAACTGACCCAGTTAGATTGAACAATAACAGCAGAGTGACAGTTGTCAGAAATGTTATGACTGGCTGTTATTCGGCACAGCTGTCTGTTATTTTCACAGGTACCATAGCAGCGATATATCGCTACTTGCGATATTAAACATCGAACAATTTAACAACAAATTATAATGGATTTAAATGAATCGAACCTTTAGCTAATAATATAATTAATATTTTAAACAAGATTTGACAATATCTTGTGCTCTTCAAATTCGATAAGACTGTATTCAAAAAGCGATATTATTAAAAAAAAAAAAAAACCAAACAACCAAAATTAACCGTATTCCTCTTCCTACTTCTGATATATTAAATATACGTTATTTATCGAACTTAAATTTGTGCCAATACTACCTAAATAATTCGAGTACATAAAATATGGTTTTCATCAACATTCCTTGGATATCAGCTTAATTGATGCAAACCAAAGAATATTAAACTCATTTTAGTCAGCTAATGGGCAATCGGTTAACCTATTTAAAGAATAACAAAATATCAGAGATGCATGTAAGAAACTATCTTGAAAATAATATTATATACTGTGAATTGAGAAAATACCAAACTATTATTGCTGGAATTAGGAGAAAACAGTGTGACCAAGCTGCACGATCCTAAAAATGTAAATACTAGTCGGAGCGGTTTCTTTTGTTTGCCACTAATATTTAATTGTTCAGTGGATACGGACGTGTACGTTTCATCGTGCGGGTTGGACAAGAAAAATGGCGAAAACTGTCGGTCGTGCGTACGCGCAAATCGCAATTTTATTAACTATATACGGATCAATACAATGTGCGAAATCAATATGTAAGTGCAACCAAAATACATTTGAATATTCTCGAAACCTGAAATATTCAAATACGCATATACATTTGTGTGCACATATGACAGATCATCATAATTAGGCTGCGATTATAGTGCAGGTGATGATGATGATGATGACGACGTTGTCGAAGAAGCAAAACGCAAAGATTGGTCGTGGAGAGTCATTGTGGGGGATATGGGAGAGAGGGAGTCAGAGCGCGCTCTGCTGCCAGTTGGTACTTTTTTTGTATGGTGAAATTTTTGCTGCCATGTTTTTTTCTGTTTTTTTTTTTTTTTTTGTGTCTTTGTTGCTGTTAAAACGAATTTGTATTTTTATTGTAGTTGTTATATCTGCTGCCTGGCAGTAAATGCGTTAATTGACAACAAAAAATCAAGTGTACGTAGCGCTGAGTCTTGCGTGCGTGCGTGTGAGTTTAGTATGAGTGTTGTGTGTGTGTATGTGTGTAAGTGTGGCTCAGCCGAGTGTGAAAATAGGCAGCATTACTAAGAAGCGAACGTCCTGTCGCCTGCCTCTGCCTGTCCCTCTCGCTCTACCTTTGATAAACTACTCACGTTTACTTTATTTTTAACAATTTTTTTGTTTAGTACGCTACGCTTATGTGCTCCATGCTCCACTTAACGTGCAACAATTTCCATAGACCGATTGCCGACCCCTCCGCGCAATTGTAGAGAGCGAGCGACATCTAATCGTTGCATATCACAATTGAAATTTGTGGCGCATTTTTATCAAGGCGCAAAGAAAAGACGAATGTGTGTGGCTTCTTGTTTTGGGTTGTTGTTGTTTTTCTTGCTGCTGTCATCCAACAATGTCGGCGTCGCAATTTGCAATTGAAATAGATATAGAAATAGATCAAAGAATGACACAGGTGGCAACCTTGCCAGCAGCAGCTGCTGGTGGCTTAAAGTGCCGTTACCTGCTCTCTCGCTCTCCAGCTCTTTTTCTCTCTATTGCCGCTCTCTCAAGCATAAGATAGTGTTGTGTAATTAGCCAATAATGTAATGTGCTACGCATATATAAAGACACACATGCATATGTGCATATATATGTGTGGATGTTTACTAGCCGTAGCGGACAGCGTTGCCAGAGCATTTAATGTCGTCGCAGTTCATTTGCTTGTTTCTACTAACTGCACACGCACTGCACACACATGCATAGGTGGGCGCACACACGCACATGCGATATGGTGAAATATATATTTATTCATCTGTATGTGCGTATTTGTTGATACAGTTGCGATTGAGCATTTCTTTGTCTGGCACCCGATGTTTATTTACCACCCACTTTATCAGTTTCTAGCGTTCGCTTTGTGCTGTACACTTTGTCATTCTTTGTGTGTGTATGTTTTTATAATTACTCTAAATTGTTACCGCTGTGTGTTGTCGTTGTCTATGCAGTTACTAGAAATCAATTAAGCCACACAACTGTCAATAGTATCTACTATAGTAGCCAGTAGTAGCAGTAGCTTGCCTTAGTTAATCGATCTTTGATTTCAACTGCACTTGACTCATGTCCCAGGGGACAGTCACTGACTGGCACAGCGCAGAGCGCTTATCATGAGCGATATTATTGTTGTTGTCTTTTCTGCTCTGGTGATAATTACATGTATGCACGCATACATACAAACATTCATATATAAATATGTATGAATTTCCAGTAGTTTGAATGAGATTTGCCTGCTCATTAATACACGGACATGTATACATACATACATACATACGTGCGCATGCATGCACCTGTTTTGCATTGCAGAGATCTGTAATTGTCGATTAACATGTTAACATTACAAACAATATCTGTTATGTTATTAGCAGGTAACTTGCCATTAGTTCAAATACACTTGCGTTCATAAAAATAATAGTGCGACTTAATCTTGGGCATATAGTATATATTCCATAATTTAAATATTATGATTTCTGAATAATTTGAAAATTCAGAAAATGCTTTAGGATTCAATAATTCATAAAAATATTAGGGTCTATTAAAATATGGGACATAAAATTATAATTAAAACTAATGCATTGTGTTCCATTATATTTTAATTATGGCATGACATATGTGTAGCACGGAATCAATGAGGCAATATTACCGTTTCAAATGAAATTGGGTGCCACGCCTTCTGAACTACTTGCCGCAACTATTTTAACATTCGTTTTCGATCAGCTACGGATTTTTTGCTATTTTTCCTTCAATATCTAGTGATTAAACGCACTATTTTTATGACCGCAGCTGTACGTATTTAGGTACATATACTAAAGGCGCAACTCTTGACAGATCTCAGCTAATTTTCGTAGTTTTTAACGGAGGAGGCCAACAATTGTGTGCATGTACTATGTATGTAATTAATGGCAGGTGGGCTAACGTGCTTTGTTAGTAAATGCCAAGTATGCTGATTTTCGCATGGAAAACACTTAAAAAAGTACATTTAGCAATTTCACAGCTGGCATTTAATCTACTTTCGATCATTAGGCAATCAGGAATGCGATAAAGCACGAACAGTTGTGCAGCATCCAACTGGGATTGCATGCGATACAGCTAATTCCAATTGGAACACAAACACACAGACAAGTCTTATACATAAATCAAATGTCTATATTTGTATGTATATTTGATTGTGTCAGAGACTTTCTTCTTTATATGCATCTCGATGCATTTGTACTGCATAATCCCCATGCCACGCCCCTTTGCGCCCGGCCAACGGCTTGCGTTGACCGAAAATAGTTGTGCCCATTGTACGTATGGGCGCCCACACAGAGCAGCCGTCTCTCTTACACACACGCAGACAGGTCTGTGTGAACAGGAAGCAGAGCCGTTGACGTTCGCACATCATAAACATTAAACATATGCATTGACAAAGCTCCCACCTTACTCTTCGAAATGTCTTTTACTTGCCCATTTAACTCTCTCGCTCTCCCTCTCTCACTCTCTCTGGTTTTGTTTGTGACCAATGCATTTTGGACACTCTGGCAACTCTTTGCTTTGCCTTTAGCCGTTGCGTTTTCGTGTGCTTTTCTTTTGTTTGTTCTATTGGTTTAGTCAACCGTTAAGCATGTCCGGCTAACGGCGCTAAAAGCCCAATAAAGAACGACAACTGTACAAGTGCAGTCTTGTTGTTGTTACCGTCGTCTGCACAAAGAAAAACAACTGCTTTGCGATAGCTCAAATGATTTTCTTCAGATAAGAGAGAATGAATAATCAGCAGTCATACTACGCAGAATGCCTGTCAAATTATTAGTCAGCTCTATCTCTTCCTCTCTCTCTTTCTCTAACTCTCTGTCCGTGCAGCTCGAACAAGAAATAGCATTTTGCAGTCGCATTTGCTTACCAAAGCAAAAGAAATTTATAAAAAAAGCAAAATAAAATAAGAACTAGGTCACACGCACAGTTGCCATGGATGCGCCATAAGGTCGTTAACACAGCAGCCAGCAAAAAAAAAAAAATTATAAATAAATAATAATAATAATAATAAAAATAACTAAATAACTAAGAAAAAAAAGAACGAATGGGAAGAATTACTTTCATTTTTCAATCAAATGCTGCGTAAATTTGCGCCAATTATTTAAGAGCAGCAGCGGCCGCTACAGCTGCCGCCGCCACAATAACAATATCAGCCATTAACATAACAATTAACACCGGGTTCAATTGAATTGAATTATGCTCTTCAAGAGAGGCTCGCTGCTAAGCGCAGCGGGTGCGAGTGAGTCGGCAACTGCAGGTGTGTGTGTGTGTGTGACTCAGTGTGACCGGAGTCGATAATTATGCAAGGCAATGGGGAAATGGGAAACAAACGTTGCAATGACGTGCGCGATGCTGATTCATGTGTGTGTGTGTGCATGAGTGACTGTGTGTGAGTGTGCATGTGTACATCTTTGTGTCTGCTTTGCTTTGCGATTACTCTACTTAAGTGCTGTCTGTCTTCATCTCGCTCTCTCTTTCTCTTTACGTCATTTTTAAGTTACTATGCAAAAAAAAAAAAAAAAAAAAAAAAAAAATACTGTAATTAGCTAAAACCCGATTTGCTCGAGTGCAAGGCAGTTGCATACGGTTTTGTGGCAATTGTCACTTGCTCATGCGTCGTTGGCAAACTGATTGCGTTTGTTTACCGCAACGCTTGGATCTGCAACGTTGCATTATAATTTCGTTAAACACGAATCATTGCCATAAAAAATAACGGCACTTTCTTAAATAAACAAAAAACAAAACAAAGTTTTTGCCATTTTGAAATGTGAAACTGCAGATATAACAATGGGGATTTGGGTGTGTGTGTGCGTATGAGAGAGATAGAGAGAGAGAGTATGTTTGTGGTTGTGTGGCTTTTAATTTTATATAACTTTATTCTCAAGTTTATTTAGATAAAACTTTTATATCTATATTAAATTTGATTTATTTTATTTTTAATTTATTTATTTATTTATTTATTTTTTTTATATATTTATATATTTTTGTTATATATTAGTTTTAATTGCCATAATAATTTTTAAATATTGTGAATTTATGAATTGTTATTTTACTTTGTTTTCTCAACTTGGTTTGTACACCATAAGACGTAGTAGGTAGAACTGAAATACGAAAGTCCATCGATAAGAAAAGGTATTCAAGAAATCTATTTCCATAACAGAAAACAGTTGCTGGGTTTGCAGGGTATCTGCCAGTCGAGCAGTCTCGAGTTATTCGTATTCCTAGGCCCGAGAATGTGTTGTGGCTGTGCTGGTGGTTGGTCGACATAACTAGGGGGCGTAACGGTGGGCGAAGAGTCGTAAGCGTTGAAACAACTAGAAAAAAAAGTAGAAATAAAATAGAAAAACAAGAATGTAATGTAATGAAAATAGAAAATCGATATTCAGCGCGCGGCGTCGAGTAACAGTTAATAAGTAATTACAGCTCAGGCAGAAGTAGGGGGAAAATGCGGTTGAACAGTGTTGGAAAACCCACCAAAAAAAAGTGAAATTGCTCAATTTATGCAAATGCCGTGTTATAAATAATAAAAGAGGTTTCTGTTGTGTAAAAGAGAGAGATAGAGAGAGTGAGAGTGTGTGTGAGAGAGGGCTGGGTCAGAGGTAGGGGGTGGGCAAATTGAAACAAAAAACATGCATTCAAATTACGAGTCATTGAGCTGTTACACTTTCAATCAGCGTCGCTGCTAAATGGCCCTTCGCCACGTTCAGTCGTCGCTGGCAAATAATTACACCGCTGTCCATTGAATTAGCTACACTTTTGTCGCCTAAACGACAGACCTCAGCTGTTCGTGTCTCTCTGTGCATGTATGTATGTGTGTGTGTGTGTGTCTGTGTGTGTGCACCAGCAAATTAACAAATTTGACATCGCAGCACTTTTGAACCGGTGTCAAACGAGTTCTCGTATGCAAAGCTATAAAACCGAAAATGTATTTAACTTGACAAAAACATTCAAAATAAAAAGCAACAACAACAACAACAGCAGTTTACATACATATATATATATGTATGTATATCCAATTTCAGCTCATTTCGCTCACTCAGTGTTAAATATAAAGTTTCGGAAAATCTGATAAGCCATATCCAGAAGCCCCACTGAAAATGTGTTTTTGTATTTTTTCAATGACGCTAAAAATTGAATGTATATATATTTACGTATATTTATGGTATATTTTAATTGCTTTTTCAAGAGTCTGTTTTTATATTAATGGGCATATTGCCAGTTAAGTACCCCCTAGGGGGATTTGTCGTAATAAAGATTATAAAATTCGCTACTTTTTTCAAAATAAACAATTTTGTTTTAACATGGGTTCACACACTACAAAAAAAAA